TTGAAGGGTACACATCTCAGTTCATCCTTCTACCAGATCGGAATCACCATCTCCGTCGAGACCAAGCATCCACCTTTGACGGAGCCTCCACCAGTAACAGCTAAGTTTCGCTCCTCTCCACCATTTCTTCTTCTTTTGCCTAATCCGACACTTTGATCTCATCCATTTGACCAGGGGCATCGGGGACCAGATAACGATGATGAAGAATTAGATGCAAATTAGTGGTGGGTATGGCGGTGCATAGATTCGGAGATGTAACCATGTGGAACAAATGAATTATCCATCAGTTAGATGCGATTCCATCGAGGATTAATCTGTTAATGGCGCTAGGAAGAAGAACCAATCAAAACATGTTGCAGATTCTTGATTTTTGTGTGCTCATCGATGGAGGCTTGGGTCATTGCTTCTTATTCCCTGGTGAAGGAAGAATATTATATCGGAATCCACAAAACTCAAACACAATGCATCGAATTTCAAACCCAAACTCACCTCTGTTCCTATTCTCCGGTTACAAATCCAGACCTACGTCAGGGCTTCTGTCCATGTTGTTCATCATCAGTAATACACACAATTAGGGCTCCATCTTCACTCAAGAACATATTAGAGTTTTTATTACCACCAAGTTGTCGCGGCTCTAAACCCATTTTCTCAACATCACCCGACCACCACCATCAAAGAATTAGGGTTCTTAAGAAGAAAGGGGCGAGGAACAACATAAATCGAAGTAGATCTCCATACACAATCGAAGTTTTGAGATTTAAGTTAAATACACACACGAAACAGAAAAAACACACACTCGAATAAGACGAAAATGTTGTAAACCCAGTTGAAGAAATATGAACTTGTGTGAGTTTTATCTCTAATTTGCAGGTCTAGTTTAAGAGTGTGGTGGTAAACGATGGGAATGATGATGTGAAGGGGGTGTTGGGTGTCGATGAACTGTAACAAATATGAGGTTGCAGGTGGTGTGTCGATGGTGAAAAGAAGACGGAGCCGTGGGAAGAAAATGATACTCAGGTGGGTTTTTTTGGTGAGAGAGAGAGAGAGAGAGAGATAGATAGATAGAGAGAGAGAGAGAGAAAGAGAGAGGTCCATATTTTTTATTAATAAAACTTTAGATTAAATAGAAAAAAACATAAAAAATATATCAGAAGGGTATTTTAGTCTTTTCAGTTTACCGAATGATCAAAATCACAAGCAAACTATCTCAAAAAGACCACCAATCCAAAAAAATCATAGTTTGTACTAAAACCCCAAAAAAATGCATACCACATGGACATTTTTGCAATTTTGTCTAAATATAATTGTTAGCTTTTAAGCATGTACAATTAGTTAAAAACTAAAAACTAAAAACTTAGCTAAAAACTAAAAACTTATGCTAAAAACTTATGCTACCAAATAAAACATTTTTTTTCTAATTTTTTATTAAAAACTAAAAACTAAATAAACAAACCGACACCCCCACCAACGACATACATACACACCGCAACTTCCTCAAAAACATGAAGTACTGTAAATAACCAAGATCAAAACAGAAAGGACTGATAATGTACATTTTATAAATGATCAACCTGCAAAACCCTGGAAAAAAACCTTTTCTCTTGTTCTTTGATTTCAACCGTTTAAACCCTCAAAACCCTACACAAATACCTCTTTACCATAAAAAATGTACTCATCAATTATATTCTTAAAACGTTCTAGGATATTCCAGTACAATGCTCTTCACAGTCTCACCTTCCTCCGCCACATGGGTGGCGGCCCACGGACGTTCCCTGGCGGCCTGAACAAATGGCAATGGAAGCGCCTCCACGAAAAGCAGGCCAGGGAGAAGGAAAAACGGCTTCTGGATCAAGAGAAACAGCTCTACCAGGCGAGGGTTCGATCCGAGATCCGCTCCAAAATCGCCACCCCAGATTCATCAAAACATGAACAAAACACGAATCCATCCAACTATAAACCATTATCCCCTAAAGAACATATTAAAGCTCTAGCGGATCGTTTCATGAAAGAGGGCGCGGAAGATTTGTGGAACGAAGCTGATGGCCCAATTCATTCTCCTTCTCCTCAAGAAATAGCCAGAATTGAATCAACTCATAATCCAATTAATTTGCGAAGAGTGGTATCTGATCAAAGTCGGGTAGCGAGCAATAAAGTAAGTGAAGTTTCTTCGGGTTTTAGTAATAATCAGTTGAAACCCAGGCATTATTCGTCGTTCCTTAATTTAGGTAGCCAATATGGTTTGCTGAAAGCTAGGCATTATTCAGTTAGGACTTCTAGGTTTACCTATAGGAAAAATGATAGCTCCTCAAGCGAAGATGATGATAAGGACGAAGATGAAGCTTTTTTAATGACGAAGAGGAAGGGTGTGGATTTAAGAGGATCACGATTGAGTTTAATTGGCTCATCAGATGCCGAGGGGAGTGGTGATGATGATGAAGGGAAGGGAAATGGGAAGAAGATGAAGATGAGCAGTGCTGCATTGGGAAAATATGATATAAAGAAGACAAAAAGGATACCATTGAAATTCTTGGAAGAGGAGGATGATTTGTCTCTACATGTACAGGCTATTAGGAATGAGTTCAATAAGAGGCGTATGGCTGAAAAAGACATTGGAGTGGGTGATGACGACTCCATCCTTAGTCCAAAGAGGTTTGCATTTTGGTTTTCTTGATGTAATGGAATTGCTAAAGCTGATAATGTTGTAATTTTGGTAAATATAATGGTTATAAGGTTCTTAGGCTTTATGTTGACAATAGCTTTGGGGTTGTTCTTTTTTCAGGTTTGATGAGTGCAATGTATCTCCATTGACAATAAAAGCTCTTACTTTAGCAGGCTATGTGCAAATGACGAAAGTCCAAGATGCTGCAATATCTGCTTGCCTCGAGGGTATGATTTCTGTTTGTGTAATGTTTTGCTCATTAACTTGTTATGTCTCAATCTAATTTCTTCCTAATAGGGAAAGATGCTTTGGTCAAAGCTAAAACTGGAACAGGGAAAAGTGCTGCTTTTCTGGTATGCTAAAATCCGATTTCTTGCTTACATTCATCTTGTTACTTTCTCGTGCTTTTTATTTTTGGTTTTGCAATATTGTTAAACACAAACAGCTCCCCGCAATTGAAACAGTTTTAAAGGCTTCAGCTAGCAATGAGAGAAAACGGGTCCCACCAATATGTGTTCTTATTGTTTGTCCCACAAGAGAACTAGCAAGCCAGATAGCTGCAGAAGCCAATGTGTTACTCAAATATCATGAAGGAATCGGTGTTCAAACTCTTGTTGGAGGCACTCGATTCAAAGTTGATCAGAAACGTCTAGAAACAGAACCATGCCACGTATGCAACTCTTTTTGCTTATCATTTACTGATTTTATTTTTTCAAATTATTCACTTGCATAAACATTTTTTTTTTCTAATGCACAGATTATTATCGCAACCCCTGGTAGATTGTTGGATCACATTGAGAACAAGTCTGGATTCTCTGCACGTTTGATGGGATTGAAAATGCTTATACTTGATGAAGCAGACCATTTATTAGACCTTGGATTCCGGAAGGACATGGAGAAAATTGTTGATTGTTTACCTCGTCAAAGACAATCTTTACTCTTTTCTTCAACACTTCCAAAAGAGGTTTTTCCATTTCCTTCCAAGTTTATACTTTATAATAAAAATGGGATTTTTTTTTTTAAAAAAAAAAAGAAATTTTACTTTCTTTCAGGTTCGAAGGGTATCTCAGCTTGTTTTGAAAAGGGATCATGAGTATATTAATACAGTTGGGTTAGGTCCAGAAACACATGATAAGGTTAATCAATCTTACATGATTGCACCCCATGAACAACATTTTCAAATAGTTCACCATCTATTGAAACAACATATTGCTCAAACCCCAAATTATAAGGTACAATCCATTTAATTGTAGTAGTTGTTGAAGTTAGAATGAGATATTTATTATTATTATTTAATTTCCCAGGTTATTGTATTCTGTACGACAGCAATGATGACATCACTGATGTTTTCCCTTTTTCGTGAGATGAAATTGAATGTCAGAGAGATTCATTCAAGGAAACCACAACTTTACAGAAGCCGTGTTTCTGAAGAATTCAAGGAAGCAAAACAGCTGATTCTTATCACATCTGACGTGTCGGCTCGTGGAATGAATTATCCTGATGTCAGTTTGGTAATTCAGGTAGGTATCAAGTGACTCCTCATAAAATATATAAAAAAAAGTATCAACGTACTTTACTTATATGATGAGACATCAATTTAAATTTTATATTTTCTTTTTTTGTTTTTACTTTTTATAGGTGGGTGTACCTGTTGACCGCGAACAGTATATAAATCGTCTTGGAAGGACAGGGCGTGAAGGAAAAGGCGGGGAAGGAATCTTGTTGATTGCACCATGGGAACAATATTTTCTTGATGAAGTTAAAGATCTCCCACTTCTTGAATCCTCTTCACCACATTTAGATCCGGATATGAAAGTCAAGGTTTGTTGACTTGATAATACAGAAAGTCATGGAAAAGAGGCTTTCCTTTCCTAACTTGTTACATATATATTTGTTTTGTAGATTGAGAAGGCAATGGAGAAAGTTGACCCAAGTGTGAAAGAGGCAGCATATCATGCATGGCTTGGGTACTATAACTCAGTTAGGGAAACAGGTAGAGATAAAACGACACTTGTTGAGTTAGGAAAGGGGTTTTCCAACTCGATTGGGTTACAGAAAGTGCCTGCTCTTTTTAGAAAAACAGCACTGAAAATGGGGCTTAAAGATATTCCAGGTATTCGAGTCCGAAAGTAGTCTCCTTCCTGTGCTTATTTACCTTAAACCCTAAACCCTAAACCTGTAGAGTGATTGGTAATGTGGTGATATGCTATTAGAGTCTTTATTTTAGGGCAGATCTTTTCTGAGAGCTAGAAATGGTTAGATATATTATACTTAAATGTAAGGCTGTTACATATGTAGGGTTAATTTGTTTTTCCGAGAGCTAGAAATGATATGGTTTATGTGACAGTGAGAGTAAGGAGACAGGTTGTATTTGGTGCAAAACCGGGTTCAAACTTAAAATAGCATTGGTTGGTTGTGATTTGTTTTTTTTTTTTTTTTTGTTTTCTAGGTTCAGTTGTTTTGCTATCGTTATGTTTTGGGGTTTCATTAACCATATGCTGATATAATTTAATCAAAATAATTGATTTACTAAAAGAAGATGATGTAAATAGATTATCATTATTTTGTAGTAAATTACAAATTTGGTCCTTGTGGTTTGCTCCAATATGTATTTTTGGTCCTACTTTTGAAATTTTAATATAGTTTTTTTCTTCGGATTTTGGGTTCCACTATGAATCGGGTATCTTTTTGCTTTACGTTTTGATCAGTGCAACGTATCCAAGCGTTTAAGGTCAATACAAGCCTGGGGTTTTAGCCGATAGTGTTCATCTTTACTTTTTTTTTTTGGTTGATTGCGTTCTTCATCATTCTTTAATCCGAATGGATCGTTTATGCTATTACGAATCACTTACACGTCCTCCTTTAAAGAAAAGCTTTAATCGGTTCTTCTAAACCCTAAATTAGAAGCCCCATGCAAGTTATTCATTGAGCCCAAAATAAAACCTGGCATTTTGATTTTTTTTCCTAATTCCATATTTCACAGCCACTATCGATTGATCTTTTGGGCCCATTATTACACCATTATCATATTTTTTAAGCCACATTATATGACGATGAGCATAGGCGGGTATCCGTTTCATTTCGCCATAACCAAAACTGGAACCGGAACCGGCGGTTCCTGTGAAATTAGATCTAGATGGTTCTTAAATTTTTATAACCAGTCTCGGAACCGATGATTCCAGTTTTGGGACCGGGTAACCCGGTTATGTCATTTTTTTTAGTTTTGTTAATACAAAATAATTCTTAATCATTGAAAAAAAGTAAATACCATAACTAGTTCATTACGATACACGTTACAAACGACACAAAGATAATCGTTTTAAAAGATAATCCAAATTGCTAAATATAAGTCATAAACCAAAGTTATGTTGTTATCATCAACCTGGTAATGTTATTTAACATCAGTTCTTTTTAAAAGATATTACTATCATGTATGCTTAAATTGTTTTACAGTCATGCTTTCACATTCAAATCATACCATTTGTTATTGAAAAAAAAAATTACAAATATGACTTATTAACATGTTACCTCCAAGATCCAATTAGATAGTCTCAACAAATGTTTTAGTCATCAACGTTGTTACAACCAATTCATTTAAGTATTAAGTATTTTAAATTTTAAAATCTCGGAACCGGTTTCGGCGGTTATTTGGCAGGTAACGTTTCTTAAAAAATGGAAACCGGAACCGGAACCGATCCTTAGCGGTTCCTACTTTTAGGAACCGAAACCTGAACTAGTGAGCTGAGTTTCGGTTCCAGAACCGATGGTTCCGAGGCGGTTTCGATTCCAAAAGCGGGGACACCTGCTATCCGTACTCAGCCCTAACATTATAGCCAGCATTTTTGATATTATTAATCATTTTCTTTTGAAGCCTTAAACTGCTTCCTTAGTTATTTCTTTATTATACATCACACCATGTTAATTATATATTATTCCATGGCTATAATAAAATACCTTATTTTATTTCTAGATCGTGTCACTTGATTTTCACTTTGGCAAGTAAAGATATGAGGCATTTTGATTCAAGTGGATTACAACGATGCATTATATTTTTTTGGAGGAAAAGCTCAAGCTATTTGGATTTATGATGAGATAAAGAAGGATCAAAAAGCCTTGACACAAATCCGGTTACATCTCCACAATAATATTCTCCAAGAAGTAGTCAATGAAAGAATCACGACTGTTGTTTGGTTAAAGTTTGAGTCAATACACATGTCGAAAGATCTCACGAGAAAGATACATTTAAGCCAAAAACTTTTCCTACATAAACTTTAAGAAGGAGGAGATGTTAATAACAACATCTATGATTTTAAAGAGATTATGGCTGATTTGGTGACTTTGTGAAGTAAAAATGATCATAACTTGAGAACCTAAGAAGGAGTTTAGGTTTAAATACCTTACCATTTTAAAATGATTTTGAGGATGAAATATTTTTAGGGGGGGGAGAGCATATAATACCTGTTTTTTATACCTAATATTATTAGACGGGTGTAATACCTTTATAAGTTAAATAAAGTGTTAATACATATTATAACATCCGTTTCAGGTATTAATCCTTTGACATCAATTTATTTTAAGTCTTAATTTATGAGGTTTTGATTGACCGCGACGTGGTGGTGTAGATCCATCATGGTGTGGCCACACCATTTAAGTGGCGACGCGGTCAGGCGCTGCCGCAACGATTGGGCTCAAAACCATAGAGATAGGGCTTTTTGTCCTATTTAAGCAATGTGGTTGTTGGGGTTTTGTCTCATCTTTAGCCTCCACCTTCCAGAAGAGAAACACTAGCTTGGTGTGTGTGTGTGTGTTCTTGGTGTATTGAGTATGTGTTTTGGTGTTTCAAGGTATTATGTGCTCTTGGACGTATAAGGAAGTGATCTTGTAGCTTGAAGAGTGGTTTGGACTTCAGATCTTGATTCTCTTGCATCCTATTGATCTTTAGAAGGTATAAAGCTTCCACCTTTATTGCTTATGGTTCATATTTCATGCTTTGAAGTCCCTTTTTGTCCTTTAGAATAATATTCTTGGAGTTCTGAGCAACTCCATGAACTTTTTTCTAGTTAAGGAAGGTTTATGGACCTTATTGTCCCATAAAGTTGATTGTTAGCACTCAACTCAACCATACAAAGGGTTTTTGGTCATTTTAGTCCCTTTTGGTGTCGGGGTTCAAGATCTAGGTCATTGGAGGTTAAGGGATGGATTGTCACACCCCTAAACCAGAACGGCGGAAACGTTCGGGGGCGGAGAACGTCATGTTCAGTATCATAACAATGCACAATAGTAAAACAAGCAACAACATCATCCATTGCATTAATAATATAGTTAATACAAGTGTGTTCTGAATGTATTTGTAAGACACCAAAAATATGAATATCAAAAATAAAAGACGAGTCTTGAACACGCCCCGTCTTCTCAAAACCTGATCTAGTGTACATGTCTACTAGTGACCTGAGAATACAAGTTATTTGAAAAGAGAGTAGACCAGCATTAAAGCTGGTGAGTTCATAAGTATTTTATGTGTCAAATGTTTGCATTAGTTTGATGAAAAATGTTTGTAAGCGTGTTGATGTAAATGTTTGTATACTTCCTAGAAAATCCTATATTTTCTACTAAACGTAGTCTTCTACCAAGACCCAACTGTTTTGTATTTTTGTTTCTCTTCCAAAAATGATGTAAGATGTGTGTTTGTACTTGTAATAGTATAAATGTGGGTTTTCCATATTTGTAAAACTATCTTTATACGAAAAATAGTATGCATTTCTTATGTGAGTAAATCACTGTATGAATGTAATGGAAAAATGAAAGTGTACAGTAAAGTTGTTTAAAATAACTACCGAAGCACTAATTACCTTAATACTAATGTGTTTATTAAGGTTAAAATGTGATCTGGTTATAACCATACTGATTGACGAGTATTTAACACGACGACCTGTTGGCGTCGAAACTGAATATGTGACATTTGTCACCCCTTGGCGTGTATGTCGGACTGTAGCTAACAGTTGGGATGTGGGATTGTCAGTCACGTATAGATCTATACACACAATGTCCGCTCTCCCTCCAGGAGACTCTGGTTACAAAACGCGACATAACAAGTATATTGTTATGCCGTGAAGTAGTATCTCACATTATTGTTACTTGTCTTTGTAAAAGGATGTATGTTCCTTTCTGTCCTTGTTATTGTATGTTCCTTTCTATTTTTGTTATGTGTATGTTTTAATATGTTTTATTTATTATTGTCCGGTACTTTGTAGATGTACCCTTTATAAATAAAATC